GGATTCGTTTGTTTGTTTGTTTGTTTTTTTTTTTCTTGCCACATCATTTCTTTTGTCTATTTTACGCGAAATTGAATTTAATACGAAACAACAATAAAAACAAATAATAATAATAATAATAATAATAATAATAATAACAATAATAATAATAATGATAATGATAATGATAATAAAACGTTTATTTATTCTTTTCTTTCCTTCTTTCTTTCATTTTTTTTTTCCAAGTGGTAAATTTTTAAAGATCCTCACCGCACGAGTCGAATAAGTTGGAATAATAATAATAATAATAATAAAATTTACACTTCATTTGCACCCCGATACGTATTATTATTATCATTATTATTATTATGGTAATTTTTTTTTTTTTTTTTTTTCGTATAAAAAAAACATCATCATCGTGTTATTTAAATCCTGCGGTTGTTTAATTGACCGAATTATTTTTTTTCTCTTTTTTGTGTGGGGGGGTGTAAAAAAAAAAAAAAAAACTACAAACAGCAGGCCCCCCCATCGTTTCTCTCCCCCCTTTTTTTTTCTTTCCCCTTATTTATTACATGTAATGCAAAAAACGAAAATCGAGGAAAGGGTAAAATTACATTTAAACCTCACGTCGAGAAAACTTATTTACGTAGGAACAAAAAAAAAAAAAAAAAAAAAATCAATTTCCGTTTTGGGGCCGGGAAAATTTTTCATTTTTTTATAACTTGACCAAAACTATTGAAGGGTACCAAACAATAAAAGAAAATGTCCGAAGATGTAAAAGGAAAACCGGGACAGACGGGGGGGGGGGGTAAAAAAAAAAAAAAAAAAAAAAAAAATCAAGGGAATTTTTAAAACCCTTCGCATATAAAAAAATGATTTTCCGTCCATTTTTCCTAAATAGATAAAAACATTTTTCACTTTAACATTTTCCTTTTTTTCCTTTTTTTCCTTTTTTCCTTTTTCTTTTTTCCTTTTACTTAATATATTTCGACTTTAAGTAATGATTATTTTTTTTTTTGCGCAATGGGAGAAAATGATTTTGTTTGTTTGGTAAGTTAAATAACTAAAGTCTTTTTTTTTTTTTTTTTTTTTTTTTTTTTTTCTAAATCGACTCTCGCTAACTAACTTTTTACATCGAATTATAAAGTTTATATTTAAAAAATAACAAGTCCTTGCTCTCTTTTCTAACGACTTTCGAAAAACAATGAAACCCCCTCCCTCCCTCCCTCCCAAGGGGGGGGGGATTAAATCGGGAAGAAAGACGAAAAAAAAAAAAATGCTACGTTAAAAATAATCGAAATCGAAAATTCTAGAAAAAAAATAAAAAATAAAGTTCATGCGGAAGTTTTTCATCGATGAGGAGTTAGTACGATTTGGTACGAAACCGTTAAGGAAAATGGCGAGCGAAAAAGAAAAGTATTCATTTATCACTGGGACAGGAAGGAAACATTAGCTTTTGTGAAAAAAAAAAAAAAAACCCGGGCTCCTAGACACGCGTGTACAATGATAAATGATAGGGAGGAAAAACACACGCGCGCACGCACATACACACACACACATCTCTTCTTTTCATTTCTTTCTTTTTTTTCCTCATTTTTTTTTCCCATTTCAAATTTTCACTTAAGTTTTCCTTTTTCTTTTTTCTCTCTTTTTTCACTTTTTCCCCAATCGTTTCAAATTATTATTTAATTTTCAATAAACGTATCTAAATTTTATATTTCATCGAATAAAACGGTGGGACGAAGAGAGAGAGAGAGAGATGAAAACTTTGATGAAATCTTTTTTTTTTTTTTCCCCCAAAACCTAATTAAATTTTATTTCTCCCCCTCTCCTCCCCGCAATAATAATAATAATTTCGTAGGGAAAAATATCATCGATTTTAAAACAATTACGACGATTTTTTTTTTTGGGGGGGTGGCGCTGCGACGCCACTTTGGAACTCTTACCAACTTACAAAAGGGCGTCAAACGATACGAGTAAATACACAAAAAATCCCCTCCATCCCCCCCCCGCCCCTTTTCAAACAAAAACAATAATAAATTTTTAGAGTCAGTAAAAATGGTTGAGGCAGAGTTACAAAAAAAAAGAAAACGGAGGAAACGAAGAAATAAAATAAATAAAAAGAAATCAAAAAAGATTTTATGCTCGATTCCCGCCCCCGCTCCCCGCCCCCCCCTCGTAAACACGCCCAATTCACTATTAAACCATCCAAAATCCTGGCTCCCATTGTTTTTTTTTTTTTTTTCTTTCCTTTCATTCTTTTATTGCTTAAACTTTTCCGATCCCGATGGATAGCCTGGGAGTCGTTTTTAACCACCATAAATAATGGATTACTTCACTTTTCTATTTCCTTTTTTTTCTCCTTTCGTTTTTCACATATCGGAAAAAATTTCGTACAACAGATAAACGAAAGTAAAAACCTTTTCGCATACAAACAAACAAACATACAAACAAACGCACAAACAAACAAACGCAAACAGTTATAATCCGCCATTTTCTCTCTTTACGTCATCATCATTTTCCTACGAATAACTAAAAAAAAGAATTTAAAAGAGGAAGAAGGAGGAAGGAGGAAGGAAGGAAGTGGTAACTGTAAACTCTTTCGCGTTAAAACAACCTAAAAATTTTTGGCATACAACAACAACAACAACAACAACAAACAACAAACACTAAAAGCGTGTGAAATAATAAAAAAATAAATAAATAAGGTTTTTTAAACATAAGTAAAACACGGACAGAAAAACCCGACGTTAACGACGTCCCCACAAATAAAAATTGTTCGGCTCGGCTGGATAAATGGAACCGGAAAAACCTTCTTATTTTTCTTTTCTTTTCTTTTTTTTTTCTTTCACATTTTATCTTTTTATTCCCGGGAGGCGGAATGATTTTGTTTTTGCATGAAATTTAATGAGTTTTCCTTTTTTTTTTTTTTTTTAACTTTTCCTTTCCTTTTCTATTCCTTTTTTTTTGTGCGTTAATGCTTATAACATTTAAGATTTTTTTAAACCTTTTCCATCCCCGTATTTCTCTCTCTCTCTCTTTCTATCTCATAAGCAACAACAATGTAAGAACAAACGTAAGAAACAAAACGTAAAGAAATTATAATGTGCGCCTTAACTTAAGACGCCATTTTAAAAAAATTTACTCGTAATTATTAAAATAAAAAAAAACATTTTTATAAAAAAGGATTTATAAAAATGTGTTCTTTCCCTCCCCCCTTCCTCCCCTCCCATCCTCCCCGCGTCCTTTTTTTTCTCTAAATTATTCTTTTAATTGAAAAGTTAAAAAAAAAAAAAAAAAAATTTCAAGTCGTTCTCTTTAATTAAAAACAAAACAAACAAACAAACAAACAAAGATGTACGACGTACATTCAAACGCGCGTGAAAAACGGAAAAAAAAAAGGTTTTAAAAATTGCTTCCACGTCATTCGGACACATCAATTCAAACATTTTTATTTAATTGCTTCTGCTTTTTGAATGATTAAAGAAAAAAAACTTTTCCAGTTTTTTTTTTTTTTTTTTTTTTTTTTACGACATTAAAAATGAAAACATTAAAAGGATGAAATGTTAAAAAAAAAATTTTTTTTTCTAATCTAATCCGTTTAAACATCAAAATGACAGCAACCACGACAATAATAATAATAATAATAATAATACTACAAAACACCGTTTCACGTGTATAACTAACTACTCAACTTTAAGAGAGAAAGAGAGGACAAAAAAAACGTTGAAAAGGGAAACGGGGTAAACGTGGGGGATGAAAACAAAAAAAAGTGTGAGAGAGAGTGTGAGAGGGTGAGAGGGAGAAGGTGTAGACTAATAAACTAACTCACATAAACAAAAATTGATAAAAACCGGAAAAAAAAAAAACAAAAAAAAACAAAAAAAAAAACAAAAAAAACTCGTAATAATAATAATGATAATGATGATGATGATGATGATGATGATGATGATGATAATCATACTTTCTCGCTTGTGCACTTATCAAAATTGGGTATAAATCCAAAATGAGTTTTTTTTTTTTTATTCGAATTGCTGACGCGTTCCGACAAAATGACGAAATGCCAACCGTGTGTTTTACGTACGAATGTGTGTGGCAACAAAGAGCTTAAATGTTTAATTTTTCCCCCTAAACTTTTCTCTTTTTTTTTTTTTTTGCCTTAAAACAGAGACAATTCGAACCGACACATGTTAATTCTTAAAAAAAAAATGAACAATGATAATAATAATAATAATAATTTTTTACTTCCGGTTAAAAGTGAGTAAAAGTGAGTGAGTGATGAAAATCTCGATTCCTGTACGAAACAATAATGGCGGATCAGAACAAGAAAATCACCACAATTGATTTTAAGGTAATAATAATGATTTAATGATGTAAACAACGAAACACTTTGCAACGATTCACCCATTCGATCAAAAATGAAAAGAAAAAAAAAAGGAAAATGGACGAATGCACTAATGTAAAAATCATTTTAAAAATGAAGAAAAGATTCTTTAACCGTTAAAAGGTCATTAAGGAAAATGTTAAAAAAAAAAAATGGACGTCGTCGTCGTTTTCGTCCTCTCAACGGTTCATTACATTCTCCATTCTTTAAAAAAAAAAAAAAAAAAATATTCCTCGAATCTTTTTTCCTTTCTTTTATTCCGTGGAATCATTCGTTCCACCAGCATGAATACCCACAACAAAGAAAAATTACATTTAAAAAGGATTTTAACGACTTGAAATGATAATAATCGCCACCCTCCCCCCCCCCATTTTCGCCTTCGGCGGAATTTTCCACGACCGCCAATGTGGCTCTTGTAAGATTTATAAACATTTCGGCGAAAAATAAATTTTCCTCAAATGAAAATAAAGAAGACCCTTTTTTCTTTTTTTTTTTTTTTTCAACAAACGATATTGAAATATAAATAAAACCGGAAACGAATTCATTTTGTTTTTAACAATCATTTGCGCGGTAATAAAAAAAAAAAAAAAATTACGATAGAAAAGAGGGGTAAATTTCATTACTTCCGGGGAAAATGTTAATAATAATAATAATTGTGGTCACTTACGGTGTCTTCTTTTTGAATTTTTTTCGGCTGGACGGTGGGAGGTTTGAAATTTTCCTTCGGATCTGTGTTGGTCGTAGCGGGGGTGACGACACTCGCCCCTGATGTCTCCGTCGCACCCTCCACACCTCCACCACCCTCCACTCTTCTCATTTTTTCAACTTCGACCTCGTGTGATATTATTTGTTTCATGTTGTACGAATGTGTTCTCGGCAAGAGTCGTCGTACATTCGTCGTGGTCAACGACGAAAATTTTATTATTTCATCCACGTTCCTGTTGTTGTTTCGACATGCAAAAAAAAAAAAAAAAACAAAAAATTTGTTTTAGAACAAGAACAAAATGATGATGATGATAATAATAATAAAAAAATAATAAAAAATTAGTATTTAGCTTACGGATCTAATTGAAAAGAATACGTTCCGTCGGGAGATCTTTGCTGTATGTAATTAAAATTAAATTCAACCATAACATCAATTAAATGTTTGAAACTATTTTTTTCGTCCTCGTTAAAAAGTGCCGGATTAACGGGCCTTAATTCCGGATTAAGGATAAAATTAATCATAGGCAGAGTGTCAAATATTAAATTTTGCTTTTGATTGAATGATCTTAACGTTGGATTAAGTCCTCTTAATACGTCGCATAATATTTGATTACATTTCATTTCCTTCGTTCGATTCTGAAACAAACAAAAAAAAATTTATTATTATTATTATTTTTAATTTTTTTTATTCACGTCGATTCGTCTTGTGTTTGCCAAAGTTTTTTCAACATTTAAACCGGGTTTCTACCCTTATCCCTAAGGAATAAATGCCTAAATATCAGTGATGATGCATGCCTGATGGATAGGTTTCGTTTTGTTGCAACCTATAACATCACAACAATTCTTGTAAGTCTTCCTGAGACCATCTTATTCGATGGGAACGAGTTAGCTCCTGTATTGGACTCCAGTGACCGACATCTATGGAGTGGCCAGGAACAGGAGAAGCGAGATTCACAACCTTATCGAGCTGACACAAATCAACAGTAGAAACTAGAACTATTTTTGGTTCCTCATTGTCTTGTTCTTCTTGAAGTTCGTGATGTTCTCCCAACCGGCGATCACCCATCCAAGTACTACCCTCAGTGATCGAACGAGAATCGATGTACCCAGCACGACCATTGGCTTATTATTATTATCATTATTCGTGCGTAATTTTCATCCCAAAACTCACAACAAAATGTTGAGTTTTCACGCAATTTCTTCACTCGTTCGTCACGTGACATCAAATGATATCAGCCTTATAACATTCTTCTTATCGGAAAATCCTTCACGAGTTGCTCTTCTTTGAGGTACCAACAAACATCTTCGGGTTTTTTTTCGCCATGTTCGAACCGTTTTCCGTTATTTACCACCCTTCCATCGAAACACATTTTCCACCGCAAAAGGCTACGAATCAATATAATCCGTAAAATTTTTTTTATTAAAAAAAAAAAAAACGAAAAAAAAAAACAAACGACGACGACGAAAATAATAATAATAATAATAATAATAATAATAATAATAATAATAATAATAATAATAATAATAATAATAATAATGATAATAATAATAATAATATTAAAATGTTTATAAAGGAAAGTTAATTTTCTTAAAAAGGAAAAACAAAATGTCAGAGACATTTTTATTATTATTATTATTATTTGGTAAATGTAATTGTAATTAATGGAGAAGAGGAGGATGGAGGTTGGAGAGGTAGGGAGGTGGGGGGCTGAAAGAAAATAAATAATAATAATAATAATAATAATAAAATATGAAAAATGGAATGAGAGTGAAACTTATTTAAAAATTAGATTTTTTCCTCGTTATATTTATATAAATTAAAAATTTATTGTAACTTTTTTTTCGCTTCATAACTTTTTCTTTTTTTTTCTTTTTTTTTTAACGAGAAGAATATAAATAATTAAGGTTTAATATTTAAAAATAAAAAAAAAAAAAGGGTAAACAGAAGAAGAAGGAAAAAAAAAAAAAAAGGATACGAAAGTAAAAAAAAAATGAAAACGAACGACGGGGGTAGAGGTCTCGAAAAAGGGGATGAAAAAAAAAAAAAAAAAACTCAGATTTTTTTCTTTTGAACAAACATTGACCGTTTTAAGGAGGGGGAAGAAAAAAGGAAGAAGAAGGGAAAACCACCCGGATGATTACGTTCGGGTTTAAATTTTTTCCTTTTTTTCCCGTTTTTTTTTTTCCTGTTGTAAATCTTGAATTATTAATAAGTAAATAAATAAATAAATAAAATTATTAAAATGTTAAAAAACATAATTTGCATTGAAAATTATTATCATTATTATCATTATTTTTTTTAATAATAATAATAATAATAATAAAGAAAAAAAAGAAAAAAAATTACATTAACAATCGTGTCGGTCTAAAGGAAGAAATTTCTAGTATATAAAACCTTTTTCATTTCGTTAAAAATTCACGACCTTTTTTCC